CGTACCGTAGCTACAATCGAACATAGCTACAGCCCTTGAAGGTGGAATGCTCCAGAGACTAACTCCGACATTTTTCGAATCTGGTCTGAGCATGTCCATTTCCGTAGATTAAAAGTTTAACTCGAAGAGGATCGACGATTTCGCGCTTCGGAAGTTTACTACGCGGTCCTGGGTTACTAAAAATGGACGGAACTGCCACGGATCGTGTCAGTTCGCAAAGTTGGAACAGATTTATGCGGACGCGGCTGTGTATTTGTAAACGGGAAACGACGCGTACAGCTCGTCTATCAGTTTTGGATAGGAAGAACCCGCGTATAGGAGGAAAAATAAAGAGAAGAATCTATATGGTCGTGGCACGGCCGCGAGAGGAAGAGAGAACGAATCAGGGGTATATGCAATCGATAATATCCACGGACAAAAATACTCTTCGACGGCTTATAGACTTTCAGCGTACGTCGTGGTATGGCCGGACGTTTCAATCTACCGGAAAAGATTTCCAAACGTTCTCATTCACCGTCAGAAAATGTTGACATTTTACGCTTAATCGTTTTGTACATTATCGCCAGTTCGATACGGCACTGGCGAAGTATTCCTATCCGTCTTCTAAGTTCACGAACGCAAAACTTCATAATCTTTATCCAAATATTTTTGGTTGAAAAAGGCTCGATAGTCCCTCGGAAAGTCTTACGATTGTTCTCCGTCCGGAATCTAAATTAATCGAAAAAATATCCGCGCTGGACGGCAGCCAAAAGTAGTTCGATTCGAGACGGAAGCGAATTCGAGTGATTAGAATCGACGAACGAAAAAATTCAGATTTATGAACTCGTACCCGGTATGCGCGGAATCTCTCGACGCCCTCGCGACTTTTGCTAAGAGAAACAAACTGTTCTTTTTTCTTCACGCCTCCCTCAACTCGAGAGGAACGTTTAACCTCGATATCAAATGTCTGATGCGTTGAGTCAGGTTCCGAATCCAAGGTCCGCAACAAACCGAAGGTCTCAGTCCTTTTTTGTTCGACTAATAGGTTCGAGGATGAAAGATGACAAGTAATTCCCCAATTTTCTAGTCGTTTTTCGAACGAGATTTTCCAACGAGGAAAGACCAGGCACAGCGAACGAAGCCGCTAATAATTTTAGTCGAATAATTTATGCATACTGCGCGATGACACTTTTATTGCAAATTTCCAGGATGTTTTATTCGTATCATCCATTACGCGGGTCAAGTGATTCATTTCACGGCGCTGAGCCCCGAAAATTCGACTACCCCCATTCTATGGAGAGGGAGAGTAGCATTAGCGCCCACCAATAGCAAAGTTCAACATTCGGCGTCCTGTTGTTCTCTGCATTTCTACGATATGCGCGTGTATTGTCAACCGCTAACTCGCAAAAAACTCCCTATGTCGATATTTTCCCATTTCATCGTCGATTTTTTTCGAGTAAAACGATTGTCACGGGGAGAGCTTGCACAGAAATGAATTCCTTGGCTCGCGTAACGATCCGGAAAAGTACCCAGCCGTATGAACAAAACGACCTTGATAAAGAACGGCTTTGACGTATTTGAAAGCAGACCTCGTCGGCTGGTCTCCGGTCGTCTCGTATTTTAAGGCTTCGTATTTTCTACGATCCGACATGGAGCGCCGGTCGGATGAAAACGAACGAGAATATACTCGACGAGCGAACCGAAGAAATTAGTTTCCATCGAGGAGAAAACATCCCCAAGGAGAAAGTCGTTGGGGATCTAAAACGGTCGACCTGCGTCGACCTTCCCGGAGACGAATTTTTCACGTCGATCGAAGATTACGATCTATGCAAAAGTGGAGAGAGCTAGATAAGATACAGTATCAGCATTGACGCACACAGCTATCTCGGAGACAGTTTTCATCTTCTGCCGAGACGGGACCGCTCTTCTCGGTTCGTCTCCGATTGGACGCGCCGATACAAGAGATATTCGACGATCGTTATCACTGACGCACGTCGCGTTCATTAACTCCTCACGATCGCTCGGCGTGTTCTACGTTTCAGATAACGATCGCTATTTATTTTCCACCGCGTCACGTGCGCGCAATTAACCCTTTTATTGACCAACGCGCCACTCGCGGCCTGCTAAATTTTTCACGTCATTTATTCCGGGATGGGAACCAACGCGTGTCGTTAGTTTGGAAGACGTATTACACTTTTTTGGGATATTACTTTTTCTTGTAATACGAAGAGACGGAGCATTTTCGAGGTACAAGCAGGACCCTCTGACTCTGTAGAAATTAGATACATTCGCGTTATATTAAGAACCGATCGAATCCCCCTACGAGGTATATCTTGGATAAATCCTGGAGTATATCGAGTGAATTTTAAACACACTTCTTGCGCTAAAATCGACGCTGATCGATGGGAGGGCGAGACCGAGAAAATAGTTTCCACGTTCCGAAGTAAACGCTGAAGTACGGGGTTCAAAGAGCGGGAGATAAAGGGACGACGCGAGGAAAGAATTATTACAGAGGCGAGAAAGAGGAACGGTGCGCTTATAGCGAAGGTGGCATACGAATTCCCTCCTGCTCTTCGTTTTCGACTCCCCATAGGAATGCTCGTATTTTTCAGGGTAGTTTACGGACTCGTTGACACTGCAAGCTTTTCTCAGCCTCGAGGGAGATGTTAACCCTGGCCGGCCGATGCGGTACACTGAACACCGACTCTAACGAGTGAAAATAGGGAGCCAATCGACGAGCAAATACTCCTGAAAGGGGACAAAGCGGCGGAAAAGGAGGATGCTCGATGAGAAAGAAAAGAACGGAAACATACGCATGGAAGGATGCGTGCAACGCCGAAGACGCTTCGTTGTACGCGAGGACGGTGGTTAACCATCGGTCTCCGTGCGGTATGGCATACCGCGACAAAATTAGCGACCAACCGAAATAATTTACCACCGGACTCCCCGAGGAGTTGTATGGTCTTCGTCTGTTTTGTTTAGTGTTTCACCAGTGACCCTGAAATCCACCGTACACTACCGCCGAAAAGTCTGGGATTGCCTATACTTTGTCTCTACGAGTCGCTATACATTTGTAAACCCATCAATCGTGTTGCGAGACCGAAACATCCGAGGTCTACGAAGTTTTATTCAAAGTTTTCGCATGTATTAGTTCCTGTGATGATTTGGGCGTCCATATCTTGGTATTATCCTGAATGGTTGTACCACTGCCAGCGGGTACTTGGACATTCTAAACGTTTAGGTTTTCCTATGATCCACATACTATTTCCCAACAACGATACCATTTTTCAGGATGATAATAACCACGTTCCTGGGAAAAGTTCGGTCTTGCTACGTACCTAACAGCTTTCTTCAATATTTACCTATGCTTAGGCATGCTAGCCATTCATCATCAACTACTTCCACGAACCTTATCTCATTATTCCGTCTTCTATTGTTCTCTAAATGCATCAGCTTACCGTATTTGCATTCAGTAAATATTTGCCTCGCAGGAATGGGAATTTCCACAGGAAATTATTCGAAAGTAGTACGAATCTATTCCAAGGAAGATTGGTGATACGCTGGCCCAATCTCGAGCGAATTGATCGATTTCCATGACAGTGGACGATACATGGATCACGCGAATATCAAAGACGCAAGGCTCTCAACGACGACGGGTCGTGGGTGTTATCGCAAAGAGCTTGCAATTTAAAAATGCACGACTATGGAAACGTCTATAGCTCGATTTCGTAAAAACAATGCGATAAAGCGAACGAATCTAGCGTTACAGATTTAAACAGCCGTAAAGATTTTACGTCTGTCCACTATCGGTACACGTCGGTTTATTAAAACTGCTCGTGCATAACGAATGATATCCGGTACAACTATCGGTCAATATAATAAAACTGTCGTTCGTGTTGCTTGCTACGGGATGCCCTATACTTTTTCAACGAGTTTTCCATATATCCAGATAATTTCGTCGACACTTGATTATTCGTTCAAAGTACAGTTGTATTACGCGCAAGATTCATCGAAATTCACAGAGAAGTATGAACGTCATTGAGAATGATTCATCCGCCGATTAAATAAGCTACCAGTATCCGCTTCAGAGAAACATCGATTCGAACAATCATCACCTTCCATTCAGCAAGTTTGTCACCTCGAAAAGGTTTTCCCCGCCTGAGTGGCTCCCACGAGCGCAATCCAATTTTCTATCGCAAATTGCTTTTTCTTCGGTCAGGTTTCGCTTCGTCGTGACGTCGACGGATAGAATCGCGGAGAAAAACAATTATGGACATCCCGTTAATCGTCTCTGCGTAGGTAAGAAAGTCGAAGGCCCTTCGCAGGATCATTTAACGGCAATGGCCTTTGCTCGAAACGAATGTATTTAAAAAGAAGGTGTTGAAGAATCGGTGGATAGTTCAAAACGCCACCGACACGAATAGAAATAATGTATTGTTTCTATTCTTATACGTATTAAAATACAGTTACCCGCTGCTCCTCGTAGACGTCAATTGCCTGCTTCTCAACTATATAATTTTCTATTTAATTTTATATTATAGCTTGCCAAGACTATAATTACACCGAAACAAGTTACCATTCCAATCATAACAGTAAATTTTATTTGAACTTGACATTTATCCAACCATTGGATCCCATTTGCCCGCTTCTGACTTTTGCCACCCTAAGTTCGAAACACTCACCAAGAAGGGGTTACATAAATTCACATTCTACGCGTAATCGTCTATGAGAATCAAGATTCGTAAGACTCGTTTATTGATTAACCGCGCTGGAATTTTTGTTTAGCGGGGATCTCGATGACGTCTGATATAACTAATCGTCACGGTCGATCGATAAAGCGCATATCTTTGATCGAAATCAAAGCGGGGGAGTTGGTCGAGTGCATGAAAACAGCGGGAACGGTGACGAGAACACTAAGACGGGGCAGGGCGGGGTGGCACAAAATAAAATTTGTCGGTTGCATCCCCCTTCTCCGGTGGAGCGGTAACCTGCAGTTGAGGTTGTAGCGCGCGGCAATAGAGGCCGAGCTGATCAGTCTGCGCGAGTCTCTCGAGCGGTGAACGTCGTTTCTTCTGTTCGTCCCTTTCGGATATTCGGATACCTTCCACGTTCAATCAACTCGAGCACAAGGTTTTCTACGACCACGCTTTACGACCTCTGTTAGGTTCGTTCGATACCGAATAGAGACAATTTCTTGGCCCGTTGCTCGACTTCAGTTCGACCAAGGAAACTCAATTTCCACGGACGCTGATACAACGAAAACTGTCGAGCACAGATGGTCAGAGGTGAGTGGGAAAGTTCTTTACTTGTTTTCTTAGTTTTTTAATTTTCTCCTACCGCGTTTCATTCACTAAAATTTGTTCCTTCGACCGCGATCGTGTCACGCTCCGACTTTTTCATCTGTGAGTCACCGGTGCGCTCCGATAGGATCGAGCGAAATCGCGTCTGACCAAAAACCGTCTATATCTACTCAGGATTCACGAGCGGAACTGCATATTTGAATTTGGCACGCACGGCTACGCCGCGGGTGCCGGACTTATCTCGCGCGTGCATTCAAAACGTAGACTCTGGTATGCAATTAGAGCGAAGTAGTTCTCGACGAACCGCTACGAAAACGTTCAGCTTGAAATCGACACAGGAATCTCGAGTAGAAACGTTACAACTGGTTCTAAACGGCTCTGACGTTTATCCGGTGTAATAATACGAGATGATACTTTCCTCTCTGTCACGACTTTCTTACCTTCTTTGTTTCTCTTGGTTCGTGCTGGCAGAAGTGGTCACGGCTCCGTGGATGTCTCGTGTGCAGGTCGCATTGTCTAAGGTCGCGAGGCACTCGTCTCGTTCGAGCCCGATCCTCTTCCTCGTGCAACTGCGAAGGTCGATTCCCGGCTTCTACCAAATAAAGAGCATTCCTTCTGTATTGCTCGTGGAATTGTTCTTTCATCTGCTTCGCGATCCTACGAATGACGTCACGTTCTGTTTATTTATATATTCGTTTATTTATTTAACGGGTAAACGGGTTATCATCTTATACGCGTTGTACAATGTAGCAGCGTTTCTCAAACTGACGATGGAAAGTATATTATAACGTGGAATTATACAAATAATTCCACTAGTATTTTATTCTCATTAGGATGGTTTTCTAATTGACCCGCCAAAAGTATTCATTTATCGAGAGTGTTCGTGGGATGATGGAGTTTGAAAAACGCTGACGGCAATCACGTAGAAGAACGTATATAAATAGAAAAGACAGAATGAACATGGTACGATGAACACGGTTGAACAGTATCAGATTGAAGGGTGGAATCGAGTTAAGAAGATCGAGTCTAAAATTACCAGAGTATTGTGAACTCGAGTCGAAATTTTACAAAAACAATAGCCGTATAATTCTTCTCCCAGTGTGTTTCTCTTAATTGCAAATATAAAGGGGCGAACACGTTATGTAGCTTCGTTGGTAAAATTTATTCCCAAGGTGATCGCTTATTAAGATCTCGATGCTCGAACGTGAGATGCTTCTTGGTCCACGTGACGTTTAATTAACCATTTTATTAACGAAACAGACGTAAGCTCTTCTCTATGGGGGCCAAGGTTTCGATCGAGTCGGATTCGCGTTCGTGATCCTATTTTAGAAAGAGCGAGACAGGTTACCTATACATCACCGATCGTTCTGGGAATACAGATTCGCAATAGACGTCGATAATTGCGATCCATTGCGAACGAACTATACCCACAGAAATAATTCGCCTACTCCGTTCAATCGCGGTGTCCTAATCTCGTGTAACTTTTAACCGTTGCTATTAGGCGGCAAGGATCAAATATATCCAGCAAAATATAAACCGAGGTTCGTGTAGTTAATGACGTGGAAGGATGTGACGTGAGCGTGCACGTGTAAATGCGCCCGACGTAGTGTACTTCCGTCACGTAAATTTGCACGTGTCGTCTGCGCAAAACAGTCGATCGCCATCTGACTCTGAACTTAAGAGGGTTGTTCCGAAGATTTTTTTTTCGAAAAATGTAAACCGTGAAAGAGAAACCGATTTTCGAGGGGCATCGTTTTCTTTACGATCGATGGCTCGATAACAAGGATCGTTCGCCAATCGAACCTCGTTAAATAAAGCGAACCGACGCGGTTCATGTGAGAAAATCGCTGAATGGTCCATCGTCTGGCCTATAAATGATAAAAGAAGACGATGTTAGAAGACGGCGTGTCAATGTTAATGTCAGGCAATGTGCTTCCCCAACTACCTTACTGTTTGGAACAACTCGATCGTATTTTGATCGGGCATCCGTTACGGTCCGATGCGATCCAAATCATGCGACTAGCGATCTTTCGGTAACGCTACATGGAAAATTAATTTCCAACTATGAAACAATCGTTGTTACGTGCGACATCGAGCGTGATCGATGATACTCTCCGTTATACGTGCTCCTTGTCTTGAAATAAATGAGGCTTCTTTCACGCATCGTGTCCTCGCCAGAGACGCGTGTAACACGATTACGTTCGCCTGGACAATCGAGTCGTTATTACCGAAAATCCCCATAAATCATCCGTACTTGTCTTGATAGGTTCTACGAAATTTTATTACTCCGCGAAAGCGAACGAAGCGTTACGCGTGTTACGTTGCGTTAAAATTACATAGGACTTAAGAATAGTATTTGTAGTTCCACGCACATAGGCCGAGCGATAACGCGATTTAAAATATCGCGTTATTTCCAGAGAGCAGCAAAGCTTAAAAATTGTTTAACGTCACCGGGTATTATGTTATCCGTGAGACCGTCGTATGCCATAAATCATCTCGCGTGCACGGATTCGATTCGTGGAACCGAATGTACAAAAGACTTTCCATCGGAATTAATGAATTTACGTCACAGCATTTTTTGTTCCAGGGTCGTTGCCTGATATCGCAGTGACGATGGCATCGGGAAGAGAAATTTACGGTGCATTCAGGTAAGCGGAAGCAAATTTTTCTACGTCTTTGTCGTTCACTTCTACGTGGTCTAAATATAAAAATAACAGAGAAAACAAACCGTACTGGGTTGTTTGGACACAATTACCGGGACGTACGTGTCCCAGCAGCTGCGAGAGGGTTAAGAGAGTTAGCAAATATAGCCAAAACAAATACGGTATCGATCCGACGACCGAATAAATGATTAATTTCGTTAATTTTACGCAACCTCTGTCACGCGACGAGAGTTGCAAAAACAACGAGTGTGTCGTCAGTTCTCGAATGCAACGTGTCGCGCGATTCTGACAGTGCCATGTAACGTGGCTGCAAATACGCGCATAGAAGCCTGTTATTTCCAGAATTTTCGTGGGAGTAAATTTCCAATACGACCTTTTCGTAATCGTTTCTGCGGAAAAGTCTGCGTGGGTGGCAGTCGATATCGTTGGATTATATGATCATCTGGATGCACTATCAATCCAGTTTGGTGCACAAATAATGCGTCCATTCTGGCTTCGAAGGTCTCGCAATAAGTTGGCGAGACCGAACGCTTCGGTGTTTTCCCCGCGATGCTAGATCAACAAAATCATCCTATCAGACACCTTTCCAGAAAGCAATCGAACGCTTCGTTCCGGCTTCCGCCTTAACGCGATTCGCGGATTATAATTCTCGCAGTACAAATATTTTCATAGCTTTATCGAGGCCGCTGTATCGTAGGAAGTGGTTCAAACGATTATGGTCATAGACCGTGACGCAAATAAGAGTCCCTGAATTTGCGCGTCCTCTCGTTCCCTCTTTTTCCCCTCTTTCCTAATAATTTTCTCCTAAAGCATCCAGACAAAAACTTTTTCTCGATAACGAAGAACCGTACTCGCTCTATTTCTGATGTCATCGCTAGTCGAAACGTTCGACATCGACGTAACGCAATATTTCACGTAAAATCAATCCGTTATCCATAGTCTAGGCTACGTGCTTCAGTACCAATGACGTAACATTGACGCAAGCGACAATTGTTGCCACTACAATGCTGCAGGGCAGAACGTCGATAGTTCGGTCCGACTACGAAAATCGCCTCCTCCTTAGCGACGAAACCCGTTCGTTTCTCAAAACCTGAACTCCAGACGTTCGACGGTCGATGTCTGGACTTCCCCTTTTGATTTCTCTTACCCTGGAGGTAATCGAAACGAGCTGGAATCTACCCACGCTTTTTCGTATATCGAAATCGAAGGGATATCGACTGGACGCGACCGTGTACGAAGGTGTGCGAAGTATGTTCGAAAATTCTGAGGTAAATACGTATACACATACGTAGAGATTATAACGGATATATAGACACCTGTGTGTTAAATCTCAAGTGCATCGTACACGGGATACGGTGGCAAGATTTCGGGTATTAGAATCAATCGATACCTCGGTGTTTGTACAAAATCTCAGGAAGCCTGCTAGGCAGACGTCTAACGACAGTATCGTTTAGAGATATTTTCTAAGCGTCGAAAAGAAACCACCAAACGAATACGCATTTGTGTTATATCGGATTTCCTTTAATTTCCAGCCTAATCGTGGACGACGTCGACTCTCACTCGATATCGAGCGAAAATTCCGACTTGGACGGTCTGTCGAACGAGAGCAGCTCTCAGAATTCGTCTACTCAAACACCTTTGGACAGCCCAGGTGGTCCCAGGGAAAGAATCAAGCAGATGCAGGTGGAAGCTGAGACTAGAAGAGGAGAGTTTGCGAGATTGCTCGAAGAACACGCTCAGGTCGTGAGGAAGCTGAAGATGATGGAAGCAGAGGAACAACTCTCGTCGACCGGAAACGTTATGGGAGCCACGCACGCGTGATTCCATTCTTAATTGGGCAGAACAGTCATTGGGTTGGGACCACTGCCCTTTCGCGATTGCAGCAGCACCGATTCGTTCAATAATGGAAATTGCAGAAATTTCGATAATGGTTGTTGTGCGGGTACAAAAATACTCGTTCGACGTCAGTGACTTCGGTCGCACCCGAGAAAACAAAGTGTCGACGTAACCCGTATTTTTTGAAACGCGTCTAAAGCGACGAACTCTCTGATTTTCTGTAAAAGTGAATTACTGTAAGAGTGAACTTTAACGAATGCGGTAAAATTATGCTTGAGTCGATGCGATGAAAAGCGTGGCTCGGTCGAGCAGATACGTCGAATAGAAAGATCGAAGACGAATGTCAGGTCAACGACCGTTCGATCTGAAAACTCGATCAAGGGATTACGACGGTGTGACGGACTGAAAAAGCAGATAGCAGTCAGACATTTCTCTGTTCGAAAACGAGTATGCAATTTTATCAAATATTTATCGATTACCTGAAAATACATATGTTAAATTACAAACCTACTTAATTCTGTAAAATTTATGGCCAATTAGCTTATCAATCCACGTATTCTACGTCATAAAACAACTATACCTATCAAATTTTGCACCTCGTTACACTGTCGTAATCCGCCGCGATGATTAGTCCCTAAGTACGAGATTATCCTTTTTTCTACGCTTCTTTTGAGTTTCTGCTTCTTCTTGTCATTCTTAGAAACCTCATTGCGAAGATCATGAAAATATGAGGCGCCCAAGCGCACTTCTTTTGTAATAATGAAAACTTATTGCGCGAGGCTCGGCTCGATCGCTCATCAACGTAGAAAACCATTGCGTATCGTTCGAAGTTTGTTTGCTCGAAGAGATAATCCTTCTTGTGTTTTATCGCAAAGTCTGAAATACTTCTAGTTACGACAATAATGAGGAACACTCGGCGTATTCTCGTAAAATCTCGAGACAAAGAGTACTAACAAAACCGTTATTTTATGTACATACACAGCAAAAAGAAAAGAAAAAAAAAAAATGGTTGGCCTAAGCGTAGTACAAACTTTTGAGATATGAACAGCAAAACTTAGTGCTGACCAGGAAACAGTGGAAAGCTTTGGTTCTAGCACTTTGTGTCGTCGACACGCCACCACGTTGATAGAACATCGTCATTTCGCTTTTTAAAAGAAGCGTTGCGATCGTGTATAATCTAGTAAATCTCGACGAAGTACAAGCTTATACATTTTATAGCGTTGTATATTTCAGTGTTCCATAAGTGTAAGTTAGTTTTATATACCGTAAGCATACGTATGATAGCATAGGATTCTAAGCCTGTCGGAATACGCGTAGAGCTTTTGTAAATAGATTTCTTTCTCAGCGTAATCCATCATCCAAAGTGTTCACCGGCGAAAAGCCTTGCGATGTAGTTGCACAATAACGTAACCGTTATCGAGAATTCTTTTTATTTCGTCGAGTATCGCGAATAGTAGGAGATTCGTATTAAGTATGGTCCAACAAGGGTAAGATTTTTCTTGTCTCTGCGTGCATATTGCGTCAGGTTTGTATCCACATAAAATAGGTATTATTAGGCATTTATAGAAATATACACATATACATATGTATAAAAATACATGAATAGACTTGTGTTATAATGTTAATATTAAACTATAACAGAAACATTAAGTACGTGTTGATGCATCCCATTCTTATTCGAACGTCCTTCGATACTTCCATCGTATTTGCGTAACATTTGAAACGAAGTTTTTGTACGAAAAACATCTTTTTGATTCGTTACCGAAAAAAAATCTTTGTTTTTATTTTCGTATATGTTACGCGACAGTAATGTTTGTAGTATTTTATTAAAAAATAAATGTTGTTATGTTTCAAAGATCACTATATATTATGTAAAATTATGATAAGTATTGCACATTCAAAAAAATATACACTTTATTTAAATTATTATTACACACTTCATCACAGAACTTATTTTTGATTCTTTGTAACATCACTCAAAAGGAGGCTCGTTTAAATCGGAAACATCCTATCTTGAGTAAGTAATAAATTTTCACTAACTAAATTAACATATTTTTAAAGCTGTCTTTAATTACATTTTAATATTGTTATAAAAATTTCTATGCAATAATTTATGTCGGAAAGGGTGTTTAGTATTAGCAATTCAAGATGGGTACAAGGTTTGTGTAGAAATAGGAGTAAACTAGATATTACGATAGCACGTATATGGTAACGTACAAACTGGATGTATGTAGATAAAAAAAGAAACTATACATGATAATGCCAATAGGATAAAAACAAATATCAAAGATATAAATCGAAAGTACATTTTACTATAGGATTCGTATTTATGAAAATTTCTATATCCCTTGTCTAAAATCTTTATATTTGTCAAATATTAGATCAAGGTTGCAATCATGTACCATTAGGTAATTTGTGTACACCATGACAAATTCATGATTCTGGCAATCTGTTCTGCATTGCCATTGTAATCATTCTATGACTCAACTGAACATTATAATCTCTCAAATATCTTATCAAGTCTGCTTGTTTTTCAATCAGTTCTTCCAGGTTCGACTCTCTAGGACGATAACCAACTTCACCGCTACCCGCGTATGTGTCCTGAGTGAAAGAAGACAACCACTCTTCGCGAGTAACATCAGGTGGTGGACGCAATCGATTGAATCTCAAAACCTTTTCTAAAATACAGAAAGAATTTTTTACATTGTAAATCTTTCAGTATATTCTATATACTTACTGATATAATGTACATAAGCTGGCACAATAATTGTGAGTTCCATTGAAGTTAACAGTATTAAATAATTCAATGGTGTTAACCACTCAGATGATCTGCAATATGCTTCATAATCAACTTTATGCGTGTGGTGCAAGATCACAGCTAACAATAAATAACACACATTCCACAATGATGCTATAAAAAGTGGTATTCGAATGTGCTGATATGTTGACTGATAAAAGTCAAGATATCCATGAATACGTAACATATGATGTTTTGCCTTCACAAGATGATCGGTTATCATAACCACCAACCAATAAAAACAATGGAGGTACAGATATATAAAATATGTGTCACATTTATTTTTCTCTTCGGGCCATACCGATGCAAACACAATTCCTATGATTTCTAAAGATACCTAAGGCATTAAATAACCTTGTAATATTAGATGCAAAATCTGAACAATCTTTTAACACCATTAGCGAAGTTGAGGCTTACACCAAATATCAGGGGAATAGATACGATTGGCACAGTATCTAATTTTTGAAATTGTTCTTCTTCCTGAGAAGTCAACACAGGTTGAAGGTATTCCTCGTCGTCCATATTGTTAGGCGCATCAAAAAACACAGCTCCCTAACAAATGCACGTATTACAAACGATCGCGTCGTTTAATAGCTTTCCGATACGATAAAATATAACGACTTGGTTTCTAAAACTAGTCTGAACGTTACGCATAGAGCGTCGCGAATGGAGGTTATGTTTACATTACATTGAGACCGAAAAAAAAATGGATACAATAAAGCTATGACTCAATTAGAATTTTTTTTTAATCGTACTCACGCTACCCGACGTGTTTAATTTTCTGACAAGGCTGACCATTGCACAAAGAAAGGATTGAAAAGTGAAATGCAAGAAAAACTCTTTCCATAATCAAGCAAACAGTTTTATTAATTTTTCTTCATTATAGAAAGCAGCTGTTCCGAATAACTGTACTTTTTAATTTGCGATGCGACACATATCACATAAATGATCTACTCTTGTGACGCTTAATTTACGTGTGATTAATCATAACTGTAACACGTGACGCGGACCAAAATGTCTACCAGCAGACGATACAATTGAGCGCCTGAAAATACATGTATAAAATTCGACTCGTCGAACACAGAACAAATTAAATCGACGGAAACTATGTTTCTGTCTATAATCTAAAATCAAAATCACTATGTTCCCAAAATATACATCTATTTTCGAACGACATGGCACATACGTGTTCGTTTAATAAATATTTACCATATCCTGGAATACACGAATAGAAACAAGCTTATAAGTGTCTCTCATAAAATCAAAGAACATAATATTGAAAAATTGCGTAAAATACAGAACGATAGAACAGTCGCCAATGGTTTTGGAATGCCAGATATTTGCATGCGTACTGGCATTAATCAGATGAAGCTGAATAAATACACACAGGAAGCGCGAAACTTCGTTTTAGAAGCACGGAATAAATCCTTCTGTAAAATTTCATTCCGCCAAATGTCATATACAGTTTTGTTCTAGAGCCAATTCGTGTATTCCTCGTCACTTCAGAATGAAATCTATCGTAGGAACGAGAATTGAACAAACTCCGCAATTGTTTTGGAACAACTGTCAGAAAGGATCGACTCGAAATCGAGGCTCGAACTTCACGCTTTCTTCGCCCTACTTCAGAAAAAAAAAAAAAAAACGATGGATAACACATAGCCTAGACAAAAACTCACAAAACTTGATTTCGATCGCAACTGAAATTTGTCAAAATTTTCCGTGGTTATTTACAATATAAAATTTACAAGTATGTTCGGACAACAGATTCCTTTGGAAACGATCAATGACCAACGCGAGCAAAGGAATCGCAACGAGTGTCTTCGACAACTTTTAGCGTGTCAAGCATATGGAATACCATTTACCGGAGTGGCAAACATCCCTTCCTTAAGGGATGATGGATTAACGCTCGATTTAAATTTCATCCTATTCAATGACGCTGGTTACATTCAACCGAATGATGTTTTTTTCAGAACGCGACAAACGTTAGTAAAAACAAACTTGTTTTCTGAGAACCTATTCTTACTTTTCATTTATCGAAGTCAAGTGTAATTGTAATAATTATAGGAATGGATCCAACCAATATTTATTGGAATATATAAGACAGATGGAGGAAAGATACGCAGTAATGGAGAGAGAGTTGACGAGAACCAAAATGTTGATTCCTGGAACGACACGCAATGCGATCTCTGTACATCGAACAGTATTTTAGCAGAAACGTTTTATTAAATTAATGAAGACTTATCTAGGTTAACGGGTTGACATTGACACATCTCTATATGTAAAAATTCGCTTTTCTAAAGTCGCAAACGGACGTAAAGTGGAAGGAATGCTCTCTGGCGAAGAGGTGCGGACACCCGTACGGAACTCCGTCGGGAAATCAAGGAAAAAATGTTAAAGCACGTGAGATTCGAGATCAAGAGAGAATTAATGTTTCATCGAGAAGAAAGCATTATAATGGAAGAAAAAATGGAGATTCAACCAGTAGGATCTTAGATGATATAGATTGGACTATGAGACGAAATTCTTCCAGGGTAATTGATAAGGATAGACCAAGTTTTTGCAAGACAAAGACGTCTGTGCAAATTTACTATAAAATATACGTTACATTTATGATATTGAGAGTCCCATTTTTCTCTATTAGAATTTCCGAGGCGATATTTATTCTATAAAGGATCCTATCAATCACCTGTGTCGGCCCAGAACATTGAACAATAATTCAACCGCGGTATGTTCAACGCACAACGTTGCTGTAATTCTTCCACAGGATTCAACGCACTCAACCATCAACGTCTCGAGATGCGATCGAAACATTTTTAAAGTAACGCATATCGTATTCGATAAAATCTCGAACAATCCTAGACAGCATCGAATTCACTTACAGATAAACAATGATATCCAGAAGAACGCAGACAAGTGCGATGCCGCTAAAATTTTTGAGAATTCGAAGAAATCTTTGACTCCCTTCAAGACTCGACAAACGTTGACTCCGTCAGACAAGGTATGTTGCTCGTTTCGATACCTTAAGGATATACTTTATGACGCGCAATAACGATATTACTTTATTTTTAAACTGCTGCGCCCATTTCTGCTATCGACGATGAAAAGACGTTGATGGAAGCATGCCAAAGGTTCGACAAGAAACACGAATCGGAAACGTCGTATTTTATTGACTTCGATGTCAAACACAAAGATCATACGCAGGCCAGTCCCACGGTAAACACGCCCAAGTTTCAACCAATAATGGGATCAGAGTTTGGTAGCCATGTTTCCCAGCGAAAGTTCGAAACCGACCCAAACAATGATCTGCTGGAGAAATGTGCGTCTAAAAAGCGACAATATTTTGATACGCACCGTAACATAATTTGCAGGTTAATCAGACGTTCCAACGCAACCGTGGCCATTGGAACAATCACTTAAAGAAGTTACCCTACGAAAGAACACGTCCTGTGAACGATCAGTCGAGAAATTTTACGAGAAACTCACGAATACAGAATAGAATTCCTACTCCGCGAAGCAACGTTCACACTGCTTCTACACCCATGGTCCAACCTTTTGCCTCGCATCCCGCGTTAGATCCCAATGGATTAACCATTCAATTGCTGAGGTGCGGAGCCAGTGATGGACACAATTCTTATCTAGATCGAGGTGTTATCAGTCAGTCAATGTTATCTTTTACTCTTTACAGGCTGGCAGTGCTACTTTACGCTCCAGCGTTGATGCCTGCTCTGAATTTGTTGATTGCTCGGCAAAATGGACTCACGTCGATCCCGATACCCTGTTCCGAAGGTTCGAACGATCTTTTAACGCAAGTTTTTCGAATTCTGAACAGCCAACAACGCGTCCCGAATTTACCTTATACGGCCCCTTCTCGAGTCGACGAGTGTTCGCAATCTGGCATGGAGTCAAATTTACAGAACCGTTGCGAGGTATAATAATACTTTCGGGGTTGAGAATTGTACACATTTGTGATACAAAATGGTTTCAGAACTTTTCGAGACAGTCTAACGCTGACTCCAGCACGGAGAGTCCTACGAACAATCGAGACGAACGTATTTCGATTGCTGTAAATACATCTTCGGAATCGTGTACTTGCAACAATCTAAAACATTCGTCCGTGCAATGTAGCAAAAGCTCTTTTTGCGAACGGATAGAAGAAAATCAGGAAAGGATATTTGCATGATTACATTTGGACATTTTAATGATACGCAAAGAGTATTTTCGCTGCAGATTTCCTTGAAATATTGAAGAAATAATCGATAGATCGGAAAAAATGTTCGTACGCAATACGCAACGACTTAAGGACGCTTGCGCGCGAATCTAACACGTGGCGAAGGAACGGAGCTTTTCTACGAACGTTTGGAACGTTTGTCGAGAACTTGCAGTCGTGCGTGCTTTCGCTGTCGAGACACGTCCCCTCGAACACTTTCGTCCTTCTCGTATTTTTATTTGAACGGATCGCGAAATCATAAACTTTTAAATCGATGATCGCGACTGGACGATAAAAATCCATCGCGATGATCGCATCGAAATTTTTTAAATTAAGAACGAATTAATGGAGAATACCAAGTATCGACGAAAAAGGTTCACCCCTAGCTTCGCAGGCCTGGAATAATTCCTCAACGTTTATGTGACCTGGATGTGAATATATCCCATGAAATTTTTCCCCAAGACATATTTTGAAACTATCACAATGATAACGCGAGAGAAGAATCTGAACGAGAATGCACGCGAGAACAGGCGCAATTGAACTGTGAACAACCGACTTGAGAATTTAATCTATCGTTAATCAGTGTGAAAATAGTTGAATCAAGATGAGTAAGGAAGGAGGCAACGAGGAAGCTGCACCTAAAGGCGGTGGTAACGAACCTATGAAGAAAGAATCGAGCACGGATATCTACGAAAATCGAGGATCCAAGAAAATCATACGTTTGGTCACGGTGCTGGCGTACATGTTCTCCGTAAGTTTCGTGGCCATAGTTTTGAGCGCGTACTACTTATTCCTCTGGGAACCACCTAATCCAAACCTCTTGAAAAGGCCAGTTCACTTGTCCGGCGATCCTGAAATACAATTTCTCTTGAGCGATTCGTCGATCATGTCGAATCATTCCGACGAATTTTTGACCAACAACTTTCACACAAAGATCACGGCTGACCAGGGAAACTTTAATGCTTCGACGAAAACGTTCACCGGTCGTATCGTCGGCGACACTTTCGATGAAAACAACGTCACCGATAGTCGTGGTCGCGTAACGAAAAATTTCAACAACTTGAACGATTCTTTGACCCTATTGAGAATCTTTTTAATGGACTTTTTGCGAAATGGAAGCAACGACTCGAAACCGGATGATGATCCCTCTTGGAAGAGTTGGGGAACTTCCAATTGCACCGAGTCCGCTCTTCTCGAGAAAAGAAAAGAATTGAACTCGACGAAAAATTCGAGCGAAAAAGGGGCCAAGTTTGAAGCAAACTCGAAAAAGGTCGTCGAAAATCGGACGATATACAAGGGAACACTTTCCTCGACGATCAAGAACCAAGAAAGGATGATTGGTGATAACGGCACGCCTCCGACACAGGACTCTTCAACTATTTCTGAAGACGAAGAAACCACTAAGAATCGTTTCACGAGTGCCAGAAATAACGCCATGTACGGATCGTATCGAGACGTTGATCGGTTGAATCGCAATTTAAAGGGGAACCATCAAGAAAAGAGAAATAAATACATTCCAGCAAGCCAGGTAAAGGTAGGAACAGCTATTACCGAAAACAGTATAAAAATTACGAGAGAGCCCGTTGAAAATGTTTCTAAATATTCTACGAACGTTGAAGTAACTCGGAACGACAAATTAAATTCATTCGGCGGAGGATTTATGGATAATGTTAAAACGACTACAATCATTGATGAATCTGACGTTATTGTAACAACTACGAATAAAGAAGATCCCGAAATTGGAACAATCAGTCGGCCATAAAACCGTCGTGTAGCTTGGAGGAACGAAATTTGCGATGAATTCTCAAGGTAAACAAACATTTTGCCACGTATGCACCGTATTATTTGAACTCGAGTCGTTAACTTTCGTCTTCTATGCATCGTATCGGTAGCCTTACGTGTGTTTTGTAATTAGTTCAAGCGAAAGATGCATGTAAGATTATCAGGATCTATTCGTTCTACGGTTATTCTGTATAGTTAAGTTTCGAATAGAGGAAGAATTACAAACCGGTCATGGTCGAAATGAAAAGTCGCGATTAAAACCTTAGAAATAAAATCGTCGATGGATCGGTGTTCGATGATTATCCGTATTGACTGCGTAATAACTGAAGCAGGGTCGTGTCGATTCGTTACGGCTTCTTTAGCATTGCTACGTTACGAATATTCTACAATTTTTTATGAACGATCAATGGTGAAAATATTAGACAGATTTAAAATCTCAAAAATTTCGTACAGATTGTAATTCAACTTTGATGCACGCCATTTTACAAAGCTGCGAGAGTGCACGCAACGAAGGCATTGCCACCTCCTCGCGTTGCGCGCCAAAGCGTCCGTGATAACACATCGATTTTCTAAATATAAACATTCAAAAAACTTGTCGAATAATAAAAAAAATCGTGTATGAAATTTCAACAAATGTACCCCATTTTTCGGAGCTTGGATATATAATTTCTCTTCTAGGTATAACAAAGTCATTAAATAAAATAATAGTCCCTCAAAAAGGAAAGACATCGTCATCTTTCTTTTCGATACGAGAAATTCATTTGACAATGCCTGCCGATCGAAAGGCTATGTTTGTTCGCGAAGTGATCGAAGAACGACGTCTTAATGCTATTAAAATAAAGGCGCGCCTCCTCTGTAAAACGAGTAAACGTCGTCAGAGTCGCTTTACTCTCGAAACGAAACCCCGTCAGCTTTGACTAAACGTTTACGAATTCTCGTTCCAGCAGGCTTTATGTTCGATATTTTTAACGCTCGACCGTTCCAAGGAAATTGACAGCGTTTACGTGAATGATATTCTTTATGAAACAGTAGGGTATCCTGTCACTGTATGACGGGTTACAGCGGCAATTTCGTATACGCAAGCTCACTCTTACGTAAAATGCTTGCGCAACACTTTTTCAGTTCTTTATCGCCTCAACGGAAGCACCTTAGCTGCGCATCAGGACAATTGCAACTCTAATATGAATACATTATACTTTAAAGTGTAAAGCCTGCGATATCAAGCAAAAACTTTGAGAGAAATTGTATGTATTTATGTCGTAAAGCTCAAAGACTGATGGGACTTTTTTTCTTATTAATATACGAAATTTCAAGGAGACCAGTGCGTAAGATTTTGATACGCAATGATAGGCCTTGAAAATAAAATAAGGCCATCCCGGTGCATCGGTTTAAGGGCATTTATCACGGTGAATCCTGTAAAGTCGAGCAGCCCTTGAGCTTGCGAACCGAAGCACGACGAGTCAAGGTTCTCGGACTTGCGCAGTGAAAGCTCGTTGATATCATTGGACGGCTGTGTTTTTTAGCAGTTGCACTAGTGGGAAACGTTGATCCGCGAGTCAAGGAACAGAAATAATCGTAGAATAGTGGGAACGTCGACGGAGAGAAACCCTTTGCGCATTACGTCCTCGGAAGCTCGTGGCCTCGCGAAACTGGGGCGTTTCTGCGTTGTCGTTTCGGTATTCACAGCTCTCCAGCGGAAACGCCCTATCGGTAAACAAGTATCGCCTTTCTGGATGCAAAACTGAAGGCATTGTAAGGGTGAACGACGAACGATCGCGAGAACAATGGTGCAATACCGGTGGAGATATTTAATCGAAACAATGTGACCTGTTTCGGGCAAAAATATCCTACGTAAGGGCGTTTCGCACAAACAAGGTATGCTCGTGCTGGGGCCGCTCGCAGTGTTTACTGGTGGTTAATAAACGTAAACAATCCAGGAAAGTTATAAATACAGAGAGCCAAGAGAAGGATTGCTTCGTGGAAACAATGATTTCCTTGGTATTTCCTTCACAATCTCTCATCGACACGTCGTAGTTACCAGGGCCGCTGCCAGAATGATTAGAACCCCGATGCAATTTCTAATTTAGGCGCGTCTACTCTATACAAATGAAATGCAAATGATACGAATCGAAAAGTTCTATTTTGGTCTCTATTTTACATGGAAAAATTTCATTTACGTAATTCCAAAAACGTAATTTAAAACATCTGGTTAAGTCGGTTCTAGTGACTACGATTCATACTTTTATTGATAATTACAAGGCAATGAACTCGGTGTTCAGTTAACGAACCAACCGGAATACTTTGTGTCTAGACTCTCGGAACAATCGATATTTCTATCTTTGATGTCTTGGAAATATGATACCAGCGGTTTTTAACCTTCTTAAACTAATGGGACTGTTCAAAAGAAGGTTCTTAGTCACCAATTTGAATACGAATATACTTTAAAAGTTAAACTATTTATCGTTGGACTTTTCTTCGGTAAAATAATAGGCATGGTGGAATTACTGAAAATTATACCCTTTTGAATGTTCTGGAGAACGAGAACCGAGTAAAGGTGATTTTTTCTAGACGTAAACCGAGGATGCAGCTGCCGCGAAAAATGAGCGCTCAAAATGTGAATCCAGAAAAATTTAACTCAGACATGACGAACGTTAATAATACGGCAGGAAACCGCGAACATAAGGGAACAGGCAATGAAATTCGATTCGCAGGCGACGAAAGGAAGGACAAGTTGTACGAACCAAAACATAAACAAAAATTGGTACGCGTGTTGACGGTGGTGGCCTACGTTATATTCGTTAGCATGGGAGCCATCCTGCTGTCTTTGTACTATACTTTTTTGTGGGATCCCAAAGACGTATCGGTCAGGAACGAAACAAGAACGAAACAGGAATGCGACGATGTAAAATCGTCGAATCCTATCACCACACCCTCCACTATCAACGGTAAAAATAGGATTTGAATCCGTCGAGTCGACATAATATTTCAAACTCGATTTCCTCTCTACATTTTACACTAACAAATCTGTACGAACTTGTGTACCGATCGTTAACGATAACATTATAAATTATCCTAAAGACAACGTTCAAAATACGAGACGTTTTAATTGGTTTTTCTTTTTCAGAAACGCTAATAGGAAGGATGACAGCGAGGTTCACGGAAAACGAACAAACTCCAGAACCGAAAATCGCAACCATTCCGGAAACTACTCAACGACAAAAGGATATGTTGACGATTTTAAACGAATCTACCGAAATATATTCGAGTGTTTCACCGGCAACGACATCAGAAGATTTTCGGACTGATTCGAATACAACGAAAAGCGGAGAGACGTTTACTAAAAACCGTTCGGAAATTACTTCGTAAATTCTTAAAAGTCTAAGGACAATTTGGCAAGAAACAAACCAAATAGCGTGAATACTTCTTCAGATTCGTTACAAACGTTAATACGTCGATCTAGTTAACTCTAGCGAAATCGACCCTTCAATTTTATAAATTTTATAAATTCCCGCGATTAGAATGGAAGACGTTTAAATGTAACTTCCATTTACTCGGCATTACTTTTCTTTTTTTTTTTTACTAGAAGCCTAGAATGATTTAAAACTATATAGATTAAATGAGAACCAAGAATAGTCTACAACTCTGTAAGTAAAAATCATTGTATATTTTGTAGAAAGAAAAAAATCGTTGGTCTGGGTAATGATTACTTATTGAGAGCGCGCGCGAAGATTTTAATTTTGATACTGTGTAATGATACGGTTGAGAAGATGATACGATTTGCGCAAACAGCATTATTTCGAGGAATTGTAATCAGGATTGTACTCGTTTGAAGGAATTTTTAACTATATAATAAAGAAATTGAACAGAATCATATCTGTGGAGATACTCTTTGTTATTTGTAATAGAAATAGAAAATACATTGCTCCTAAATTGTTCTTCGATTTCTTATTCACCAGTCATGAGCATGTGGACTGATTTTTCCGACCTAATCATTTTACTTGCTCTTTCGGTGCCCACAATTGCCGAAAGTTGCATGATATCATATTTACAATATAAAACGGTTACTGTCATGTTACTTTCGGAGCCTGCTCGTGGATTTTGATTAGCTTCTTGCATTAAATTACAAATTTCGCTATAAAACTCGGGAAAAGTGGGTGGCGCGTAAAATATAATGTGCCTTATGCCTTTCATTCGTATCCTTCGGAAGAAATGAAATCGTTCCGAATATATGAGAAAATGTACATCGCTGTGAAAGAACATATCTCTTGCTCTTGCTATTTTTGCATCCTTCGTGTACTCGCAAATTTGTACAAAACTATATTCTTCTTTTTTAAAGTAATTTCGCACCTTTACAAAGTCGAAATAAGATGGTACAAATATTAACGTGTGATTCATAATTCTGTCCTTGTACTGAGGAAGTATTTTTGTTATAAAAAATTCCATTCTATGTTCTAAAGCTTGAGAATGACTGGAAGCCTCGAATTTATGAAAAACTTGCGGAACTTGTACGACCACATGACAAATAGATCCAGGAGAAACAGGATTTATTACTTTAATTTTTCCTGCATAATTGTAACATCTCTTATTAAATATTCCATAAATTTCAGGCACATGTATACTTGAAAATATCAATGTCTGTCTATAGTATTTGGCCCACCCATTTACACACCAACTCCTTACTCTAGAAAAATCTGTTCCATGAGAATCTTTTGGTTGTAAATGAAAATGGTTTAAGATATGTATCATGTGGTCCCAATTTTGCATTAAAAATAATTCAGCTTGATCTAAGATTAATAACTCTACAGATGCCAAAAAATCAAAATCTCTGTCTTCTTCACCTTCTGCCCCTACTAGTATTCTCAAACCCAAGAGAGATGTGATTATTATATCGGAGGAATAAAATTCTGAATATAATTTTAGAGTCTTTTTTGTGATAGAGATTCCTATTTTGAAAGTATCATCTGTATTTCCTTGAAATGTTTGCTCATAATCTTCTGGTTTTGGATTCTTTTTTGGCATTACTAATTCATTGCCACTAAAATCTTCCATGAATCTCTTCTTATTCATTACAGATCCACCTTTATCTTCTCCAATTAAAATCGATATCAATAATTCAACAATTTTTAAACAAGAATGTCTAAAAGGAACTATGATCAAAATTTTTGGTCTCACTAATCCTTGATCTCTGTATTCATCTGGAATTTCTGCCATGTTTGTACAATTTGATTTTGTTATTTTTGCATTATGATGTAATACCTTTGTTCTGGTCTTTAATGCATGATTAATTGCATGTAAACAATATATAAATCTTATTTGATTACCATTTGAAAATGTCCTTTCAGGGTAGTATAAATCCTGATAATTATTTATGACAGAAAACAATTCCTTTTGCAGAGAGGTCAGAGATGATGAATCTGTGTCAACATTATCTTTTATATTTGAGTAATTAGCTCTTGTAATATTGTTTTGAATCTGAGCCTTGACATATAATTTATTCCAATCTACAGTTTCAATTAAATATGGAATGGTACCACGTTTTGCAAACTGCTTATCCTCTAAAACAGAGACTTTGGATTTTTTTATCGTATCATTTGCATCCTCTAAAGGTTTTGGAATTTCACAAATAAGATTTCCTAGAGTAGGCCAAATTATTTTTTGTGTTTCTATAATTTGTGGAACATTAGATACAGCATCATAAAGTTTATCATTCAAATCATCTCGAAGATGAATTGAAAACGGATCTTTCAAATAACCAGCATCTTCCCGAGCAGTTTCAGGATCTTCTTCGTCTGCTTCCTTCATTTTAATCTCTTCACTATCACTATGATCCAACAGATGCTCCTTATTATCTGAGTTATCAGAATTTGTTGCTACATTTTCGTCACTGTCATTACTACTTGCAATATCATTTTCATTATCGGAAATATCGCTATCTGAACTAGATTCAACAGCAGTTACTTGAAGTTTATTAGTATTTGAAAATGTAGATAATAAATCTTTCATAGGATTCATCTGCTCATCGTCAGAACTATCAGTTTCTAATTCTTGCTGCTGTGATTTCTCTTCTTCAAGCATTTGTCTACGTTTTTCAATTTCTTTATTTTTCACATCACGTTCTTTAACATACAACGCTTCTTTTAGGTTAAATTTACCTTTCTTCGGTTTCGGTCGACTATCACGTCGATCAAATTTCCGTTTTCCACCTCGTATCGGTCTTTTGCCACGTACCATTATGGTGATAAGTTTTGTATATTAATTAATATTATGTATTTATAAGAATTCCCTCCAAATTTCGACATAAAACTAACCCACGTGACGCTGTCATTACTTACTATTATTTAACACCATTCAATAACACGATTTTAAACAAACAAAGTTGTTGCTATTAAAACACGCATATTCTGTGTATAAACCATTTGTAACTTGACAAAGTATGTATATATATATATATAAATACACAATTAATATTTTAGAAAAGTAAACAAATAACGTTAGCTCGCGGTAAATTAGGTTAGCTTGCCTTCAAGAACTGTGTGCATGCAATTGTTTGTGGCAGTTTGTAGATTCTACTATCTTCACGCAGAACAGGTTATGAGCGCAGAATTTGAAATGCGCACATCATTGTTACGATTTATTTAAATTTTTCATCGATAGAAACGTTAAATTGTATTGCAAAGTACAATTAAGTGTGAATCACCATTTGGAAAACCGGAAGAAATCTGTAAAGCGGGAACACCATTTTGTGAATGTCACGTGACCGATCATTTTCGTAGATAAATTATCGCAGTAAATTGAATTTTTTAATCACCGGTTTCCTTATCCATGATTTAACGAATCAGAATTCCCAGAAGTTTCGTACCACGTGATAGAGCAGTAGAAAACTAGAAGGAATTTCAAAGATTATTTGAATATATTGGAAAAACATGTGGTTATCACACCGTAACAATAATGGAATTTTTTATTACCGGCTAGTTACGGCGTGATCCGTCTACAGCTTAAAGTAGTTAGTGACAACTGCGCTAACAAGTATTCTTGATAACGTGAACGGAAGGGAAAGGCAGGAAGTTGAAAAAAGTGGGCAAAATTAATTAACCCTTTGCTCGGTTGTTTACAAAATATCCGGTTCCTGACAGGCCTTCCGAGCCAACGAGTTCAGGCGAACAGGCGATACTGCGCGCGCAGTAATAACACGCCGCCGGCAGTGCCGTATATTTTTTAATCCCATCTTACTCTATTATAGTTTTAAAAAAGATTGCAAATAATCTTCATTATAATACATGCAAACATACACACGATAATTGCTCACGTTCCAATAAATCACGATCACAAGACATTCATCTAATCGCTTCATATACATCAAATTACATTACTAATTTTGAAATATGTTTACGAGCTTTTATGATCTTGCTAATAAGTAAAATCAATTTCTTACATATTAATATTTTATTTTCACGTTATTATACGACCAATGTAGAAACAGAGAGAAATGTTCCATGTACGGTGGGGACGAAGTTATCCTATACGAGGTTGAGAGCGTGAGCTGCGGATCGTAAATGTACGGGCAGTTTCGATATAGAACTTGAAGCGCCCTTAGCAGTGGTCGCGTATAGAACCGGTAAGCTGTGGTTATTCGATAGTTTTCGAAAAACGAGAAAGTGTCGAGTCAGTATTTGACAGGCCCTTAAAGCCTGCGGAGAAACGGCTGTCAGCGAACGTACAGGAGGACACAAGTCAACGAAGGTTTTTTTCGTGTCTGATGAGCTCCTCCGTCGCACCGCTGGTGGTAAGATGGCTGTGCAGCTGGATGGAGGAGGGAAGGAGGACTTGAAAACACAGTTTGTCACGCGGGAAGGGACATACAAGCTAATGACTTTGTCGGAGTATTCGAGGCCAAACAGGGTCGGCTATACGAATAGTCAAGGAAGTGCATCCGTTAGGGTGTCTTTCGTAACTTTACCGGACCCAGCAGATCCTACGGGTACGCAAGGTCTCGGCGACCGAATGTGTTTCAATTTTGGAAAGGAGCTTTATGTTTACGTGTATCGAGGTGTCAAAAAGGTAAGACGAATCCTTCCGTTATCTAATATATTCGTCTAAATTGTCTGTGCTTAATCAAGCGTGGATTCATATAGACCTAACCTCGAAAACGCATACCGAGACTCCATCTTTGCAGGCCATCACCACACCTAACAGAATCCTCTTACTTTGTGCATTAGTCCACGCAAAATTCCATTCTCCAAACTTGTTTGCAGTTAGATATTTCCTTTAGTATTGAATGCATCATTTATTTGTCTTTCTGAGTTCTTTTAAAATACAAAATATATTGTCTTATCAATGGTTAGACCTTTGATTGAAGTCTTTGAAAATAGTTTACTTTTCATATTTAAATTAATAAAGAATACAGTATTATGCAATGAAAATATATTAATTTGATAATTTTTTTTTTATAATAGTCCAACTTTTAGATTTTCTACTAATGTCAATAATGAATAAATATTAAATTTAAATGTTTTAGGCTGTGGACTTAAATAAACCATTGGAAAAAAAATTATATAAAGGAACTAATCCAACTTGCCACAATTTTAATCAAACAACAGCAACTGCAGACAGTGCACCCTTATTAGTGGGTTTCTCAACAGGACAAATTCAGTTGATAGATCCAATTAAAAAAGAACTCAGCAAGTTGTATAATGAAGATGTAAGTAACTTAACAAGTTGAACTATATTGTATATTATAGACTAGACTCTTTGAATGTATTAGGAGATTGTAAAATAATACTGGTACAATCCCAAAATTATGGGAATATCTTTATAAAAGATAAGCTGGTGGCTTTTATGATATTTTCTATGTTGTTATTACCACTATACAGAGATATTTTCCAGTAATGTGTACAAAAGCTGTCAGCACTTATCCAATCTCTGTTGATATGAATGCGTTATCTTGTTGAAACATGATAAACGAGAAAATTAATAATAGTTCAATGGTTCAAAATAATATCAAATGCATCTTCTATGCAGTATATTTAATATTTAGTACTAATTCAGTCATTTTTGTACCATATAATTATTCAAAGTTTTTTTTAACTTGAAATTATTTTTAAGAAATATTTTCCTTATTTTCATAGCAACACACATAATAATGTGCAAATATTTTTTTAATGTTTCAGAGATTGATAGATAAAAGTAAAGTAACATGTATAAAATGGGTTCCTGGATCAAACAACCTCTTCTTGGTATCACATTGCTCTGGACAACTATATTTATATAATGAAGAACTCTTGTGTGGTACTACAGCTCCCCATTATCAGTCCTTTAAATCAGGAGATGGTTATGCCATATATACTTGCAAGACAAAATCTACAAGAAACCCTTTGTACCGATGGGTGATAGGTGCAGAAGGATGTTGTATAAATGAATTTGCCTTTAGCCCATGTGGTTCAAATTTAGCTGTGGTTTCTCAAGATGGGTTTCTACGAGTATTTCAATATAACACAATGGAGCTAGTGGGTTCAGCTAGAAGTTACTTTGGTGGATTCCTGTGTGTATGTTGGTCACCGGATGGAAGATATGTTGTTGTGGGAGGTGAAGATGACCTGGTGACAATTTGGAGCTTTCATGAAAAAAGAGTTGTAGCTCGAGGTCAGGGTCATCACAGTTGGGTTAGCGTTGTAGCCTTTGATCCTTACACTACATCTTATGGAGATCATAATCCTGACTTCAGTGGTTCAGATGATGAAACATTACCACACAGTAATCACAACCACTTTCATGAGAAGTCTAATCGTTTGTCCACCACTTCCCAAGGAATTCACTCAAATAGAAACTCTTGTGGTTCAGAATTAAGAGTGTCAGGTGGTACATGCTACAGGCTAGGCAGTGTGTCGCAAGATACTCAACTGTGCTTGTGGGATATCACGGAAGATGTGTTGAGGCAACCAATGTGCGCGAAGCAGAGGCCATCTGCAGCAGGTTCTGGTACTCTTTCTACACCGGGAACAGTCAACAGTGGGAATGGCTCGACGACGAATCATCACCTGAACAATTCTAAACACAATAATTTGAATAATGTTAATTACAAGGAAAACGCGAGTGGTAATAATGAAAGTAGTAACAATAGCACGAGTACAAATACTGCAGTGTCAACTGTAAATTCGTTGACTCAAAGGTTAGCAGGCCTTGGTTTTGGTGAGAGAAAAGGTGATAATCATAAAAGAAACTTTAGCCTCACTATGAGAGGTAGTGGTGCATCTAATAGCACAATAATGCAGAACAGTGGTGGTGATAAAGCTACCACTAATTCGAATACAAGTAGTAATATGAACAGTGTCAGTGGAAGTTTAGTAGGTGCAAATAAAAAGGCTAGTTCCGTGATGGACGATCCTATGAGGTTGATAGGAACTGCCTGGTGCCCTAGGTTTGATGAGTGCCCAGTGTTAGAACCGCTGGTGTGCAAGAAGTTGGCACATGAGAGATTGACTGAATTAGTGTTTAGGGAAGATTGCTTCGTAACAGCGTGTCAAGATGGATACGTCTACACATGGGCAAGACCTGGTCACATGGTAGGTCCCCTCACCATCAGCAGCACTCTGCACAGGCCACACCATCATAGCAATCCTTACACCAATATTAATTCCTTACGGTCTAACGATCTATGATGTAACCCATCTTCAGCCGTTATTGCAATTTTGTGAAGTAGGGTTGTTTTTAGAGATGAATTCCAATTTGTATATAAATAGAGATAGAATTTAAAATCATTGTCAATATTGAATGAAAGAGATAGATGATATGATAATGCTTTGGACGATTATCCTATTATCATTGTTAAATTGTAATAGGTAGCAAATGCTCTTTCAGACATACAATTTTATTAATTGTAGACACAAAGGGGTAGTTTTGTTGATTTTCGACTTTGGTATTGTAATAAATACTGTTCTTGTGGCATCGCATGTGTTATATATACACATTAATTTTGAAAAATTTTTATTTGAGAATAAATGTGTTTTTCTCATATTTACAAATTAAATCCTAGTTTACATTTTATCCAAAGCAGTATATGTTACGAATGGTGCCATTGGAAAACATTAAAGATCTTTTGGCATTATTCTTTAGTCTGTATTGTATATCAATTACAGAAATGTACGGATGGATGGTACTATGAATGGACAAATTTGATTCACATTCTATGTTTATAAATCTTTTAAGATTCTTACTCTAGCAGGCATACATTCACTTTACAACTATTAAACAAAAATTTACAAAGAAACAAATTTTGTTTAGTTGTAATAATTTCTAACATCTATTCATAGTATGAGCCTCCATTTATATCTGTGCCTAATGATCATCTGGTCAAAATATATTCAATACGAATATTGAAGAAGTACATTAGTATAATTATAAATAGAATATATTTATGTTTGGTTTGCATCATTGAAAGTAACATTGTTTGCGCCCCATAAGATTTTGTAACAGGGCAGGCCCCTTAAACCCTTCTTTCTTTCCTGTAAAGTGTTACTAGCTTAGCTTAGCAAATGATAGAAAGTCAATGAATTATTTAGTTAAACTATTGTCCCAGACTATAATAATGTGACATTTAATCCTTTGTTGAAAACAATGAATTGCCTTGTTGTACAATAAAGCAAAAATTTGAATGAAACATTGCTGCTTGCTTCCTGCTTGATTTTTATATAGAATGCAATGCAGAAACACCAGATGAAACTTTGATTATTTATCTACACATATCAATATATATATATATATATATATATATATATATATATATATATATATAACATTTATTGTAATTTACTCCAGTTTTATTAGTTGAAATGTTTGACATGATTAAACAATTATTTTGATGAATTTACGGTACCAGATTCAGTTTCCTGGTGTTTTGCATAAAGTACTTCTATTGTCAAAATACCTTATGCTCCCTTATCTGTCATAGAGATTTAACCAGTTAAAATTTTTGTGATAATTTTCATATAGTGTGCATTGCTTTTTTTATAGTGACAGTCTTATAATTTTATTGAAAGATGCTTGTGCTTGTTTCTTATCCCAGTGGGGCATTAATTTTTTATTTTGATTGAAAAGATTAATGTTCTGTACCATGCTTTGGCTGATGCAAGATTATCATGGATGAAACTTCCCAGAGTTTTCGCATGGTATGTACAATACATATATTGTTTCTTTGACTTATTTACAGCTTCATTGGATTGAGTAGTACAGTATGTTTGTATATGCTCGATTTGATAATATGTGCCTTCCTAAGGCATTTTTGAATTGTTTACCAATAATACTTTTATGCTGTCATTGCACTATTTTTATTTTAATGTACTTTTAGAAGTTACATTTATTTTTAAAGTGCTTTCAACTATTTGGAGAATTTTTGTACAGGCAAACAAAATGATTGTTGGTAGTGAATTTTCGTGCATCTTTTAATTGCAGCCAGGAGTAGGACAGGTTGGAAATGCTCTACATGTTGTTAGTCCCGCGGAAGGTGGAGGTACCATAGTATAGCCAGAACCAGATATCGGCACACCTTCAAAGCACGAAGAAGAATACGTCCCGTCTTTGCGTGTACTGCAATCCTCGGAAATGCAGTTTCCATATACGCATTATCGTCACTTGTATTATGTATGGCCAAGTGAAAGTTATTCCAGTACTGTTTAAAGATGGATAATCAAAGAATTATCATAAAGGCATCTAACAGCTTAATGCTTAAAGACTCATTTTTATTTGGTAAGTTAATTCCGGTGCATAGATTTGTTTTTGCTTTCCATCTTTTTTTTGATTACGCATGGAAAGCATTTAAATTTTATAGTCTTAAACTTATTTCGTAAGAAAATCCAACAAAAGGAATAAGTAAATTGTGTATACATGTATATATGTATACATATGTATGTTTGATCATATGTACTGTATACTATATCATTCCAAGAAGATCTTGTTAAGTAAAAAATTTTAATCGAATGGTGTTAACACTAAATGCTTATTATGATATGTGTATATATATACATATATCATATGTATATGTATATATCAAGAACTTTTATATTATTATTATTTAATATTTACGATCGTTTATCGGAGATATGATTTAAAATAATTTGCTTTTAGTGACATAGATTAACGAGGATTGCGAGACTATTGTAATCAGTCAGAGCCATATGTAAATACGAAATATTTTAAGCAGTATTTTAATTTGCATACTCGTTACTACTGACTATTTGCTTCATCTTTGATAATAATATGCACGAACAAAAGCGGACTAAATGATTTCTAAAACACAATCTACGTTAATTATTTCATTTTTAAAGTTTAATTATAGCAAGTATTATTTTTCTACGTTGTTAATTTTAAATAATATTTGAGATATTTAGTGAAAGCATATGTTACAATGATCCTTCTTTATGCTTCATTTCCTATTACTATTATTCACAAACATAGTCCGATCATTGCTAACTAAATTGCCTTAATAAGATCGTAAGTTAAACATAATAAAGAAAATTTTCATTTGTTCTATATAGTTACACGAATGTTTTACTAAGAAACTTGTTCGCTTTATTGGAAATTTATAATGTGGATGTAATCTATAATGCATCATCGATGTATGACCAGTCGAGGACTCAATACAGAAATGGCTTTATATCTGTCTGCCACAATGAAATAAATAGTTATGAATTTATAAAAAAATAGTTATCGAATATTCTGATGGTAGACAGTGTTTCAAGTTGAATATTCCATACGGCGATACTATTTATTACTTTATACAAATAAATAAAAATATATATGTATACATACGTTAAAATATTAACGTCGTAATGTAAAAACAATTTGCATTGTTGTAATTTTTGAAAAGTTTGGAAACAATAATACATTTTTACACTCTTTGTCATGGGCATTTCTCAAAAGTATTAGTAATTTTATAGCGAAATGCAAACAAAGTGTGGAAACGTAATAAAGCGAGTTTATTTGATGTTAATGAAAAACGGTAATTAGTTAACTATATGATTTATGTAATTGTAAATCAGTGTTTCTTAGACAATAATATCTGTCATGGTATGAATTGTCAACAATATTTAAGAATGTTTTAACGTTGTTTAACAGTGATTCCCACCAATGGGAATCACTGATCTCGGAGAGAATATACGATTTTGTATGTTTTTTTTTTTTTTTATAAGAAAACTCAAAGGCAAATACGAAGTATTTTTGCGTATGATCATACCTTACATCGTAACTAAATTAATTATAGATCCGTTTTTATATTTGAGAAAATAAATTGCAGTTTAAAAAAATGCTAATATAATGTCACTTTTGTGATAATTGCAGAGCTGTTTATCTTGGTATGTTTGCAGGAAAGGTTTGCTAGAAGTTTGAGTTGTGTAATTCTTATTAAAGAAGTTATTTTACATACAATATATTCTAAATTTTGACAAACAGTAGATGTGTAACACTGCTCTATTCCTTGACAAGCTCTCTGAAGTATGCTGTGATACGTGTGTATGCTGACTTTGACTAATTACTTAATTATAAGTGATGAAAGTGAGAGTTATGCTATGTCGTGAATTGCAATTTTATATGGTAAACCAAATGGTTACTCTTCAAGATGTATTTGTTGATTTAACCCAGAGTTGGCCTGATAAATATCATACTACATTTCATTTATTGAATCTGAGATTTATAATGTTCCTATATTGTAAGTCGTACAATGGATCTCTAATAAGTGTTATATTTTGTTTCATGACTAGTACTGATTGAAGTATATAGTATCAATTAATGAAATTATTAATTATTTCACTATTTCAGTTTAGGATGTAAATATTTGGTTGTGTTCAATAGAGGAATCTTCAATTCTGATAAATGTTCATTATTACATGAACGAATTTTTTGTTCTGTAAAGCGAACAAGATTTCTTTGTATCAAAATGCGAATATGTTCAGGGTTGAAACAATGATTTCAATTGTAACATAGAGTCACGTCCCTTTTAATACTAAGGATAAATACAACGATTCAAGAAGATATTTTGATAATTAAGTTGTGAATTGGCAGACTAGTCTGGCTGATTACACATATGCAGATAAGCATAAAACTAATCAATCATTTCCTACTTGGCGACTTTTTTATGAGACATTTTCACACAGAGCTTTACAACATTGCATAAAATTTCTATTTCTCTTTGCATTTCACTTCATTTGTTTATAAGGGTGTACATTCTTTGTAATTGTAAATGAAAAAATTTTCATTGTTAGTGCTTCCGTGTACGTTTCTTTATCACGTAATTACCCAAAATGTAAAACTATTTTAGAAAGAGTTTTACATAATATAAATTTAAACATAAGCGATGTATTGGCGTATGAATATTTATTCGTACCGTAGATATTCTTAGCCAACTATGATTAAATTCGATTCGCATTCCTTTTTTTTCTACATGTAACATTTCTATATCGCTAGGACAAAATTGTGTTTCGTGACAGATATGTAAAATCTTTTATATTGTACAACTGAAACGTTTATGGCAAATTTTATGGACTAACAAAATGAAAAAGCTACAAATACTTCGTGTAGATAATGACTTAGTAGAAAAAGCAGACTTACAGATAGGTAATAATATCATCGGCCCAAGTGTCGCAACTGATGTAAGTACATGTTATTACAGCACTTAATTACTTAGAAAATTAACTTAACGAATGCAATGGTAAGTAATTGATTCGAAATTACGACGGTAGCAAACAAATTTGAAATTTCTGTTAACCGTTTAATTTTCTTCGCGCATGCGCCACAAACGTGTATTATCACGTGTTGCGTTTTTGCCTTTCGTGTGTTTTGCTTGAAGCTTAAAGATAAAAGTTGAGAATATATTCTGAATTGGAAATTTACTCTTCATATGTTAATTTCAGTCTGACAATGGTCAAATTATCAAACACGCTGTAACGATAAATCTATCGCCTGACTATGAAATGACAATAACACCGGTAAGGTCAACTGTAGGTTGTGTGCGAATTACGCATTGACAAAAATCGCAAAATTTCGGTAAAAATTGCATAAAACTTTCGCTAGTTTTTGTATAGCAATTATTTTATTAGCATCAGGTTTCACCATGTTTCATGAAATCTACCAAATCTATGCGATGGCAACTTCTTAAATCCGGTGCTACTGTTCCAATAAAACCAGGGGATATTTGTTCGTTACTAAAAGATAAATGTTGGTTTAAAGTTGTATTAATGTCTGACACCATGGAAAGCAATGAGGAACATGCCTCGAAACGAAAAGTAAAATGCTGATATTTTAATGATTCTATCACTTACTTTTTAAATATTTTTTATCAATTTAATCATAGGCTCTAACAGCTGTAGATTGTGATTTACCTTGTAAAAAGCCTTGTTCAGAATCAGGGGAAGGGGATGTTAAAGTAACAGATGAAATGATTAATATGAACAAAGAGAATTTGTTGAATAACGAAGCTGTTACTGATGTAGCAGTTCGAAATATCAAGGAACCTCATTGTACAAGGTTTCATTTTAGTTTGAATTTACAATTTATTATTCAATGATGCAAGCATTATCTATAATTCAACTAATTCTTATATGATAGTTCCACAAATGAGGATAAAATGCATGCATTAAATGTTAAGTTAATATGCATGCCTGAGAGTACAGATCAATCTTCTTCATTAGTGCAAGCTGAATGTAAACTTCAAGACACAAATGAAATAATTTCCAAAAATATTACAAGTAAGGAAACTCCTGCCATCAGAAGGGAAAAATGCAAATATGGAAAAAAATGTTACAGGTAATTTTGTTTTTTTCATTTGTTTTAAAACACTTTATAAATAGATTTTTTATTATAGGAGAAATTTACAACATAAAGCTGAATTTTGTCATCCTGAAGATCCTGACTATGATATTCCAGATGACAGAAAAGAATGTCCTTATGGTATGCAATGCTATCGTAAGAATCTTCAACACACGATGGAGTACAAACATATTGTGTCAAGCGAATCTCGTAAATATCGTAAAAAAACTCCCACACGAGTGCCTTCAAGTACTTTATCCAACATAGAGGATCTATCTACAGATGAATCAGAAGAAGAATCTATAGAAGAATCTGAATATGACCCTTCTGACGATGCAGAATATTCGTCTGATGATGAACAATTATTCGAATTTCTAGATGATAGTTAGTACATGGAAAGAGGGGATTAATACTTTTCTACATTGAAAAGTTCAATGGTTATTTTTATATAAAAACTGATGTACTATATATTAATGTAATAAAAATGAAAAGATAAAAATATACATTTTGTTGAGTCTTTTTTATGACATTGAAATTATATAAATAGTATTACAAGGATACAAGTACGAAAACAAAGTGTATTTTTCATTGAATAAAATATATACAAGTAATGTAAATAGGAATTAATACTCTAAATAGTTAATATACTTGGTATCCTTCGTCACTCTCTGCATATTCTTCTGTAGCTACATCTACAAGTATGTGTTTTGGTATTTCAGAACCTCTAACTTTAATGGTATAACAAACGTTCTCCATTTTATGGATGCTTTGTTTGAGTGTACAAAGTTTTCTGTTCATTTCTTTATTAGATATACTTGTAGAACCAAGAAAACCTTTGTACATATTTCTAACAAAGCTGCATGTTTGGTAACAACTACCAATGTCTCCAGTTGCTAGATCATTAATACATTTACGCATAAGTTCCCCGGTCAGGTCTGCAATTCCCAAGATGTATTCATATGGCGTAACTAAAGTACGTAAAGTTTTATATTCAGATTTTTCGGAATTTGTGTAAGTAAGTATCTTTTCAAGTTCTGTCCAATGTTCTATATCACCACCATGCATATATTGGTAAAATGTAATTGCCTCTATGTATTCTTCGAGACCAGCACGATATGCTTTAAGGTACTGATACGGATCCTGATTCTCTAGTTCCAATGCTATACATGAGAAAAGATTTTGAGCTACATTTTGTAGTCTAGTTTTAGCTTCCTGTAAAACGCTCTCCTGTTTGCTTTGTTTATCTATTGTGTGTAAAAGGAAAATAATTCTTTTACTCTCTATAGTGATATCTCTACTGATTTTTACAATTCTTTCGAAACGATCGTGTTTATCGTCCAACTCAGTAGCATAACCTCGAAATTGCTGTACGACCAAATTATTCTCGTTTATGCTCTCTACGATTTCCTTGCCTTTGTCACCAATGTTGATCTTCTTATTATGGTGATATCGACGATGTTTTCTATCTCCTTCGTCCAAACATAAAATAAGAAATTGAAACTTTTTAATGGTTTTTTGTCATGTTTACAAACCGATGATAGTCAATATGATTATTCGTTATTGCTTTTATTTAGGTTAAATATTCATCGTATTAAGTCTATTTAGGTAAAATATTCATTACATTAAGTCCGGAAACACCTTATAAAGATACTAAAGTACTTTTTGAATGTTGTATAATTTATTTAATATACCTTTGGGTTGAGACATCATGGTAACCTCTCTATCGTCACAATATTCTACAATACTCCACGAGTCGTTGATTTTGAGAAATTTTGGCGTTTATAAAGTTTACCTTTTTACAAGGTCGCTAAATTATCAACAGCTAAACAATCAATCAACAATAAATGATGAACATTATCTATTTTACTTTTCTCAATTCTATTTCACGCTGTACAGCTCTTTATACTTAATGAGATATGTATTATACAATTTGAAGATGTTATATTAGTTTAAAAAATTTCAGAAAATATTCTAAATATATGAGAATATATTCTAAATTGTACATATTATTTATTTATTATATGTTGTACATATTTATTATTATATGTTATTTTATGTTTGATGCATCCTGTCAGCTTTAGAAACTAATAAATTTACTTTAATAATTTGACGAAACATTGCTCATATGTAACAGATCCCCTTATTTTATGGTGAAATAATCTAATATTGAAAAATAAAATAATGTATTTGGTGATTTTAAATGAAAAAATGTTGCTCCATTAAGAAGCAAGCTAGTCAAATCAAGAACAATAACCTTTGTCAGCCGATTTCAGGAACTGGTACGTACCTTTAGACTTTAGAGTGTGAAAGTTATGTATGGTATCGTCGGGTGTCGGAGGTGTCCCGGGACATCTCCCTAGTTTAGGTCGCGCCCGAGGACCTTGAATGAGGATCGTTGAGCGTATGTGCTGGTGTGATTGTTTTGCCATTTTTAAATATAGGGTTAGGTAGGTAGATAACTTCTGGTGTGTATGTTAAATCTCGGTAGGTAGGGTTCAGGGCAGATCTCGTCACTTTAGTTTGGGTAGGTCGCGCAACGGTTGACGGATCTGTTACTGTAGGTGTAGTATGTAGTAGTAGTTCGAGTCATGCACTCCAACGTGACAACTCATCATCCAGTGTCAATTGGGCAACTCGCGTTTTAGAGTAGTGTTGCGAAAAGAAAATATCGGGTTCGTTTTTTAGGGTTGCTTTACTTCATTAGAGTCTTTCGCGTTTTATTTCAGAGTAGAGTCGTAAATGAATGAACTCTGATCCTAATGAATTTTCCTTTGCCATTGAGCGCACAAAAAATTATGCACTATATCTCAGAGATATCAGTGTGCCATTTTCGTTTTCAAACAGTTAACAATTTAACGCATAGATTTTATTTTAACTTCCAAATTCGAAATTATTTCTTGTAAGATAATTACTCTCAGTAGATCTTTACTTTCTGTTCATCGACAGTTCTATTGTACCATGTCCAACGTTATCGACCACTGATCATTCACGAAGTTGATAATATAGTTCGCGAAACACATCTTACCATATTAGTTTCATCTACAAAATTATTCTTTCGCTAGTTTTCCACAGATGGCGTCTTCTGAATATCGTGTCGATAAGTGATCTCTGTCATGAAATCCACAAATAGTTTTTAATATTCCTCATTCCTAGTTTTCTCTAAATGCAGTCCTTTTTATTCCATTTTGTTTTGGTCCATACGAAACTATAATGCGCCACTGATTGTAGCGAATATGAAGTTACAAATTTGCGACACGAAAGCAAAGTTTGCACGAATTTCGTGCCAGTTATTCCTATAATTACAATTTCATCGGAAGTTGGGTCGCACCTTTTACATTCGAGCTTTCAAGCGGGCCCGTCAGCGTCGGTCGGATCGAGTTTGGTAACGAACGTTATACGAAAGTTTAGCTGTATCGGATGATGTTAATAACTGTCGATAAATTTCGATTATACTCATGCGAATGGTTAACACCCCGTTGCACGAATTCCATTTCATTTATAACCGACTTCGAAAAGGAGGAGGTTACTCAATTCGACATGTATATATATTTTTTTTTAATGTCTGTTCACCGATTACGCCGAAATGGCTTGACCAATCGGAATGTGAATCTTGTTGCATCTTGTAGAGCATGCCCCCGGTGGTCCTATTATCACGACTTTTTGAATTTATTATTATAAAATTTATGAATTTATGTATTGTTTATAACTATCGTTATCGCACAATTCTTATTATATGATGTAACTCGGTGAGGAAATTACCGAGCGCGATGGAACCTTCCGCATTTCATAATAGATGAATTCGTGATGTTCCCATTTGAAAAAATTTATGGACACTTTCAGTGTTTAAAATCGTTGTTGGTGCAAAATTGCTATGCTCTGGTGTAGCTCGACAAAGAATTTACCAAACGCAATCAATCCTTTCACACGTATTTGTACATGTACTCCTGATAATCCTATTTGCAATTAATATAGGTTGTCCAAAAAATGTTGGATGTCCTTGAATAGGGTGTTTCGGGGAGGAGGGAGGGTGGGGCGGGGTGATTTGAAACAATTTCTTAACGAAAATGTTGTTCGAGGCTTCGTTAGGGAGATATTAACAGAAACCCCCGGCCAATCAGAACGCGAGTATGCCGGAGGAGCGCTTGCAGAGCCTATGCTAGCGCAGGCGCTTCTCCGGCATACTCGCGCTCTGATTGGTCGGGAGTTTCTGTTTTTCGAATATCTCCTTAACGAAGCCTCAAGCAACATTTTCGCTAAGGAAAAATTGTTTTAACGCCCCCTCCCCCGCAGAACAAGCCTTCTCAAGGACCTCCAACAAAAGTCAAATACAACAGTAAAAGTCGATAATAAAGAGTGCTTGTCGATAACGCAGATTACTCTGTCGGTAATGTAGAGCGTTTGGTCGGTAATGTAGAGTGCTCGGTCGGTAATGTAGAATGCTCTGTTGGTAATGTAGAGTGCTCTGTCGGCAATGCGGAGTGCCCGGTCGGTAATGCAGATTGCTCGGTCGGCGATGCAGATTGCTCAATCGGTAATGCAGATTGCTCGGTCGGTGATGTAAGTCGCTTGGTCGGTAATGTAGATTGCATGGTCGGTAATGCAGTCTGAACGGTCGGTAATGTAGATTACTCGGTCGGTAATGCAGTCTGAACGGTCGGTAATGTAGATTACTCGGTCGGTAATGCAGTCTGAACGGTCGGTAATGTAGATTACTCGGTCGGTAATGTAGATTACTCGGTCGGTAATGCAGTCTGAACGGTCGGTAATGCAGATTGCTCGGTCGGTAATGCAGATTGTTCGGCCGGTAATGCAGGTCGCTTGACCGGTAATGCAGATTGCTCGGTCGGCAATATTTACAAAGACATGCTGTCGTCGTGTGGCTACTAAATGTGTTTGTACGCTTAAACGTGTACAAGATGGCATAAGCATGGTGGCTTTAGTCTTTTTTAATTTTCGTTTCTTGCGCGATCCGCGAAGCATTTCGTTGCTTCGCGGCTGTGCCCATTGAAGGATACGTTTCCTTTTCCTGGATCGCTGCGCTTCTGATTACCGTCTCTGATGGTGGCATAAGCGTGGTGGCTTTATGCAGCTTGTTCTGTCGGTAATATATAGTGCTCGGTCGATAATACACATTGCTCTGTCGGCAATGCAGATTGCTCGGCCGGTAATGTAGTCTGAACGGTCGGTAATGTAGATTACTCGGTCGGCAATGTAGATTACTCGGCCGGCAATGTACTCTGAACGGTCGGTAATGTAGATTGCTCGGTCGGTAATGCAGATTGC